ATGGTCTAGCCATTTTACCATATAATGCTATACCCTATGTTCTATTTAGTTTCCTAGTCCTTTCTCCATAATTTTGGCTTAAAATTTTTAGTAATTTATTGAAAACCTACCCAGCATGATCAGAGAGCAAACCTGTTTGACTCCTAAGGGCCTCCCAGCTCAGTTCACTTTTCTTGAACTTCACATAAAAAAATTTATTGCAGTGTGGGGTGGTGGGGATGGGGGTGATGGAGAGAAAATACAGTAGGTAGAGGGCTTGCAATAGGCTAGATTTAATTTCCAGTACCCTACATGGTCCCCCGACTTCCCCCCAGGAGTGATCCCTGAGCTCAGAGCCAGGAGTAAATCCTGAGCACAACTGGGTGTGGCTCACCGACCCCCCCCCCCCCAATAAAAAAATAAAATGGTAGATCAAGGGCCAGACATCAAAATTCAGAATATAAATTCCAGTGGTTCAAGCTCTTATTCTTTTAATATGGTGGCACAGTGATGGGGGACTTGTCTTGATGTCTCTCCTGAAATTAATATCCAAGTGAATGCCACCCAACATGATCAGAGAGCAAACGTGTGTGACTCCCAAGAGCACCCCAGCTCAGTTTAATCTTAGGCTTGTCTGTCGAGTCAGGGCACTTTAGCTGCCCTTGTTGCATTGCTTGGATGCTACATGGAACTGCTCTCGAGCTGAGCAAATTTGTCCCTTCTGGCTCTTGTTCAAATGAACCATTGGAAGAACTTTTCTTTCCTTGCACAAGACCGTTCCAGTATCCTGGGGAAAATATTCAGACATGATTCTTCTCTTTATGAGCTGGATCAGATTGTTCCCACACAGAGTTAATTGGCCGAGTGGAAAAGTTGTTCTCCATCCTTGATAGTTAACAGCCAATTCAAGTTTCCATCCTCTGGGCCATTTTTCCAGGTACCTCCTACTGGGGTCTTGTATGTGACACAGTTTTCCAGGTGTCAAATGATCTTTCTAGATTACCAAATGCATCAAACCTTTTGTTCCTTCCTAGTTGAGTATTTAATAAATAAGTAGTTAATGTTTCTATGGTAGCTTTAATGTAACATCATCAGATGGCATTATTATTTTGTTAATATACTGGAGGTCATAAATGTCCCCAGTCACTATTACTTAAGGGAGACCAAGGAATACAGTAGATGGTTCACACTTCAGCTATTTTGAGGAATAAATTTAACGCTTTATACTGTGTTTTATTTTGGATCCTTTTCCTTCACAGTTGGTTTAGATTAAGGAACATTAAAAAAAAGTCAGCAGGCGAGTTTCCTAAAAATAGAATTCTTAGATTCTTAAGCTTCACACTTAGAATGTTTCTTTTTTTCTATTAATCTTGAAAGAAGTGAGTCATTTTAAATGACAGAAACTCTTAATTCTAAGAATATTTCTTAGCAGAACTCAAAACATCTTGTTAAAACACAATGGCAGGCTCTGTCTTGAATCATTTGTTCCTACTTCTACCAGCTTTGACACTCATCCGTTCCCCTCCTTCTGGGGTTCCTTCCTCCCTTTGCCTTCAATTCCTATACACAAGTTTGGTCCCTATTCCTTCTCTAAATCTGTGATGGTCTCTCTGTATCCACTTACATGCATGTGCGTCAGGAATGGTTGCCCTTATCCTGAAAGACTTGGAAGGATTGATCTTGTAGCTGAAATTTGACATGTTTTGCGTTCACCCATTTTTCCATCCTACAGCCAATGTGCTCTCTGTCAACTCCATTACAGTTTCTTTTGTTTTGTTTGCTTTATGATGCTGACGCTGGCTAAGTTTAAGTTAACTTTCTTTTTTTTATGATTTTTATACATTTTATTTTCAAAAAGTAGTTCACAATAGTTCATTACATATAGTATTCAAACACCCACACAACCAGTGAGCATCTTCTCACCACAATAAGAAGGAAGCGTGTGAAGGTTGTTGGTTTTATTCTGGGGCCATGTAAGCTCATATAAGAGAATACAAACAAGTATGTTAAAACCAAACACATATGTGCTGCCTTAGGTTCATCAGTGGGCTAGAGTAGAAGAGGTTGCATGGCCTCAAATGTGGCTGCGCACTCCATTAAACTTTCACCTTACTATATATGTTGACTTCTTTTTTATCTCAGCTCTCAACTTCAATGAAAGGGTAGAGCTAGGATTATTCTCTCTCGTGCTTTCCTGGATGGCACCTCAACAGTGCGGTGGCTCTTGTTAAGGTGAGATCTAGCAAGATCAGATGAGTAATACTTACTAAATATATAAACTGGATTCTAAGTATGTGCTGGGCAAGGTCATATAGCTAAGAAGCATGGCATAGGCCTCAAACAGTAACTCCAAGTTCAGCTTTACAACTTCAAACATTTTGTGCATAGTTAGATAGCAATGCTAACTTGGGAGCTCCTTTATTAGAAATTTATTTATAAGAGACCTTAAATCAAATCCATTATAACCCCCACTCGATTTGAGAAGAGGGCACTTTAAAAATCACAGACCATATCATCACACCAATAGCTTTTTGTATTGAATTTTTCTCATTACCACATAGAGATATTGCCGGCTATCACCA